CTCGAAATTGTGTAGCTCTTCATGCATGGCATTCACCCAATCCGGATCAACAATAGCATCTTCAACCTTCATAGGTTCAATACTAGAAATGAATGAGTAATGTTCACAACAGTTAGCCAAACGAGTTTTAGAGCGAGTAATTCTCCCGGTTTGAATATCACCATAGATTTGTTTGACGGGATGATCTCTTGAGACTCTTGCTCGAACTCGTGAGAGCTTTTGTTTGGGTCAGGGTGGAACATCCTCTTCATTGTCTTGTTCTTCCTCTTGTCTTTCTTCATTGTTGTTGGCATTGTTGTTCTCTTGTGGAGGTGGAGAAGGAGGTCGTTGAGGTTCATCTTGTTGTACATCCTCGTTTGCATCATGTTGATGTGTCCCACTTGTGGATGCCTCCATGTCAACTTGTGGTTCACCTTGGTGTGAGGTTGAGGCTTCCACTTGGACAGACGAGGTACTCTCCTTCACCTCCGTTGGGCGAATCGTGCCAATAGACAAGTCTTATATAGCTTCCGAAGGATCTTTGTCACCTACATCAATTGGCAATTGCTCTACTTGCGAGCTGTTAGATTCATCAAACTTCACATCTACCGTCTCTTCAACCTTTTGGGTGAAATTGTTGTAGACACAGTATGTGTGAGAGTTTGAGCCATAACCGAGTAGGAAACCTTCATGAGATTTAGGAGCAAATTTCGAACGACGATGCTTATCAAGAATGTAGCACTTTGAGCCAAATACCCGAAAAGTATCCAACTTGGGGTTTGTTATCGGTGAGAAGCTCGTATGCCATCTTGCCTAGTAACTTGTGAAGATATAGATGATTCGTTGCATGGCAAGCTGTCTGAACCGCTTCCGCCCAAAAGTGTTTTGGCGTCTTGTACTCATCAAGCATCATTATCACCATTTGGATGAGCGTCCAGTTCTTCCTCTCAACAACTCCATTTTGTTAAGGCATGTACGTAGCCGAGAACTCATGTGAAATCCCTTCTTCGTCAAGAAAGGTGTCCACATTGGCGTTCTTGAACTCCGTTCTGTTGTCGCTGCGAACCTTCTTGATATTCACTGCAAATTGATTTTGGGCCTTCCTAGCGAAGTTCTTGAAGATCTTTTGGACCTGCGATTTATCATCAAGAAAGAACACCCACAAAAATCTTGAAAAGTCATCAATAATGACCAACCCGAATGAGTTACCACCGAGACTCTTGTAGGCGTTGGGGCCGAAAAGATCCATATGAAGTAGCTCAAGTGGTCTTCTCGTGGTCATGATGTTCTTCATGGGATGACTTCCTCCAACTTGTTTTCCTGCTTAGCAAGCACTACAAAGTCTATCCTTGTCAAATATAACATATTTAACACCAAGGATATGATCACCTTTAATAAGCTTGTCAAGAGTTCGCATGCCCACATGACCTAACTGTCTATGCCACAACCAGCCTTTAGAGGATTTAGCAACTAAGCAAGTTCTGGTTGAGCCTTTTTTTAGTGAAATCTACAATGTATAGATCACCTCTACATATGCCGGTAAAGACCATATTATGATAATCTCTTCGAAACACTTGTCGATCTACTTCAGTTAATAGGACATTAAAACCGAATTCGGCAAGTCTAGATAAAGTAAGTTATAGCCAAAAGATTCAACGAGCATAACATTTTGTATGGAGCTATCATGTGAGATGGCCACCTTACCTAGGCCAACCACCTTACCCTTTGAGTTATCACCAAAAGTGACATACTTTCAAGGGCCGTCGTTTTCAGCAAGCTCACGAAACATATCCTTGTCTCCGGTCATGTGATCGGTACATACACTATCAAGAACCCATTCCTTTCCTCCAGCCATGTAGCCGCGAAGGTTTGCCATAAGACCAAAGTGTAGACTCATCGAGATCATAGTCACTATCATCATCCTCATCATAGTATTCATGTTCAACATCATCTTGTGATTGATCATTTCTAAGAGAGGGTGATTCATTAGTTTTGTGATCATGACAATGTGCATCTTTATGAATTCTAATGACTTCGGAAATGATATTGCTAATGATTCCAACATCTCCTTTGGCACGCATAAGGTCACGAAGCTCAAATAGACAATCACCAAACTTAGGATCATTGGGATTCATCTTATTCAAAGCAATAGACTTGTGAAGAATCTCATCTAAGTTTTTCAAGGAATAGTTTGGAAATCGTTCCTCAAGAAATATCCATATAGTGTAAGCACATTCAAGAGTTGGCAAGCGAGCAATCAAATTTCTAGGTAATCCTCTAGTGATAAGATTGACAGTTCTAAGATTGCGAATCATATCAAGAGACTCATCGGGGGTAGGATGCAAGGGGTCAACAAGGAGCGCACAAGGAGTAGTAATGTACTTGTTCAAGTGATATTCATTGAAAATCTCAAGCATCTCATTTTTCCAAGCAATAAAGAACTCTCCATCAAGCATAGGCACTCTATGTCTAATTAATATCCCCAATCGTAGACTCATCCATCTTCCTCCAATGGTGTTTAAACCAAAGAAATGGAGACCAAAGCTCTGATACCAATTGAAAGAATAAAGAAGAGGTGTCTAGAGGGGGGAGGGGGGTGATTAGACCCTCAACAAGTAAAGATAGTAGGTTTTAAGTTTTTCAAGTTAAGGTTGGAGATTACCACAATTTCAAGCATTCGCAATACAATTCAAGCAAGCATGCAAAGAGTATATGAGTAGCGGAAATTAAAGCATGCAACTTGCAAGAAAATAAAGGGATGAGATTGGAGTGTGCAAACGCAATTGGAGACACGGAGATTTTTGGCGTGGTTCTGATAGGTGGTGCTATTGTACATCCACGTTGGTGGAGACTTCAACCCACAAAGGGTAACGGTTGCGCGAGTCCACGGAGGGCTCCACCAACGAAGGGTCCACGAAGAAGCAACCTTGTCTATCCCACCATGGCCATCGCCCACGAAGGACTTGCCTCACTTGGGTAGATCTTCATGAAGTAGGCGATCTCCTTGCCCTTACAAACTCATTGGTTCAACTTCACAATCTTGACGGAGGCTCCCAGGTGACACCTAACCAATCTAGGAGACATCACTCTCCAAAAGGTAATAGATGGTGTGTTGATGATGAACTCCTTGCTCTTGTGCTTCAAATGATAGTCTCCCCAATACTCAACTCTCTCTCACAGATTTAGATATGGTGGAAAGATGATTTGAGTGGAAAGCAACTTGGGGAAGGCTAGAGATCAAGATTCTTGTGGTTGGATTGGAATGTCTTGGTCTCAACACATGAGAAGGTGGTTCTCTCTCAGAAAATGAGTAGTGGAAGTGTAGGCACGTTCTGGTGGCTCTCTCTCAAATGGAGAAGGGGGTGGAGGGGTATATATAGCCTCCACACAAAACCTAGCCGTTACACACAATCTTCCAAAGTCGGAGGGACCGAATAGTGAAACTCGGTCAGACCGATATGGTTCAAAATGTGAACGTTAGAGTTTTCGATGGGACCGACAAGGTCAACTCGGTGAGACCGATGTGGTAGGGTTAGGGCAAAACCTTATCTCGGTGAGACCGATTGCGTGAACTCGATGAGACCGGTTTCAGCAATAAGCAAACACATACTTGGTCAAGCAAACTCGGTGGGACCGACTGCACATTTCGGTGGGACCGAAATACTGCAATAGGTAACAGAGAGTTTGCAAGGCCATCTCGGTGAGATCGAGATCCCATCGGTGAGACCGAACTGATTAGGGTTTCTGGCAGTGGCTATGTCAGATGAACTCTGTGACGCCGGATGAATCAAATCAGCGGGGCCGAGTTTGACTTTAGGTTTAGGACATATGTGAAAGTGGGAAAGTGGTTGAGGGCTTTGGTGCATATCACTAAGCACTTTGAGCAAGCAAGCCATTAAGCAACACCTCATCTCCTCTTAATAGTATTGACTTTCCTATGGACTCAATGTGATCTTAGACCACTAAAATGAAAATGTAGAGTCTTGAGCTTTTGCTAATGTTTATCCTTAGCATCTTGAAGGGGTTCCACATCCTCTTATCCTGCCACTCCAATGTTGAACTTATCTGAAATATACTAGATAGAAATATTAGTCCAACAAGAGATATGTTGACATTAATTACCAAAATCACCCAGGGAGCTCCTGTGCTTTCAACTTGCGGATGTGAACATGAATATGCAAGAGGAGAAGATGATGCCGCCGTTATGGACACAGAGGATCATCCCGGTGCCACTATTACTGTCAGCCTAAAAAAAGAGTCGTCAACGTTAAGCTTAACACAGCCCGGGGGTGGAGGAGCCCGGGTAGCAGGTGCGATATCCTGTTTGTTCACATGGTGTCACATAATCATAGGTACATGTTGTATCAACATATTATTTGATCATAAAAAATACTTTTGTTATGTTTTTGCCTCTATGAAGACTTTTATGGTATGCAAGATATATCAGTGAAAGTAATTTTTTACATGGTACATCACCAAAACAAGAAGGACGCTCCAAATTTTCTCTAGAAAAGCACTACTCTGGTACATCCAACCCTTGAAGCATAATATTGGCGGTTGATTGCAATTGAACGGCGGCATGGGACGCCCAATACACATATTATCAAAAAATGGTTCTTACCGATTTTGCATAATTTATAGTAGACAAATTAATAGTATGCTCATGATCACTCACATTGTTGTCACTCATGTTGATGTTTTTTTTGTGTGGGCGCATTCATGTGGCTGTCCACTATTTTGAACTCTTTTTTTTGCGGGGGAACTATTGTGAAATCATCTGAATTAGAAGTGCTCATAGTATTCTTAGTTTTCTTTACCAATGGATCACCCCCATGATTATATCAACTCATCCGGATTAAAGGTGCTCATAATACTCTTAATTTTCTTTCCCGACGGATCATCCCCAAGATTTTTTTTTTTGCAGATTGTGGCAGGCTCTGTTCTTCCTTGCCTACTTCCTTCTCCTTCCCCACTCTCTCTTTCTCTCTCGAATTCTGTATCCCAAACACTACTGCTACTGGTTAATCGAGATAGTCGTGAGAGATAAACACCGGAGCTGGTGCGGCCTCCGTCGCTCCGGCACCGGTGAGCACGAGACTGCCCTTCGCCTCCAGGTTCTCCTGGGCGAACGCGTGCTTGGCCGGCACCCCATTGGCCACCGTCGACCCTACCTGCCAGATGTGGTTCACGGCTTCCATGCCCTTGGGCAGCTGCAGCGTGCCGTAGAGCCGCACCTTCCCATGGGCGCCCTCGTCGGCGGCGAGCTCGGTAGCCTCGAACGTGATCGGCGTGGACGCCGCGCTGAGCGGGCGGTACCCGGTGAGGTTGTACGTGTTGACGACGTATGCGCCACTGCTCTTGAAGGCGAGGAGCGTCTGCGCGCCCTTCATGCCATCGCCGGTGGGGTTGACCCCCCAGGCCACCCAGCCGGCGCCGATCGCGCCGGGCGGCTTGGCCGCGAACGCCAGGGACAACGACGAGGCCGCCGCGTCGTACGTCCAGTGCAGCGAGGCGCCGAGGGTCGGGAGGTCCGCGCACGTCGCGTAGCTCCTGCCGGCCGGGAACTCCTCGCTCTCGCAGGCTCCGCCGGTCGCCAGCATTGCCGCCGGTGACGCCGCCAGTAGCAGGAGTGCCAGCTGGAGAATGGAGCGGCGCCGGTGGTGCAAAGTCGTCGCGGCTGCCATGTCTTCGTGCGGCGCGACGCCAGCTATCTAGAGGTTTTGAGTTGATGTTTGGAGAGAAGCACACACTCGTGGTTTATATAGGTAGGGAGCTCGAGAACGGGCCGGCCGGGGTGGTGGCCATGGTGGGGGGTGCAATGTACATCTTGGAGTAGTTGACCTGCGATTGCACGTTCTCAACGATTTCATAACCATCAGCCTACATCGAAAGTACATGAACCCTTGTAATGTCATGATGTCAATAATGGTACGGAAAGTAGTAATATTGTTTGGTGTAGTGCATTCAGTTTAAGTATTGTTGTGAGTGTAAGGCACGATCGATGGAGGGAACGGAGATGGTAACCTAAGCATATGCGTCATCACATCCCTATGGAGTCAATGCTTAATTAAAGGAAGCATAATCGTTCTTTGCTCCTACCCTCCTGGCTGCTGTGACCTAGCCGCCGCTGGTCGATCTTCCCCGGCTTCTCGGCGAGGAACGAGACCCTGTCCCTCCGTCTATCACTCTAGCGACGGGAGGGGCCAAGACCCATGGCGGCAGGGTAAGGGATAAATTTAGCATTGTCTTCGATCTACGGTGGCGAGACGACAAGCGTTTTTCGACATGGAATAAGGTATCCGCGCCTCGTCTTTGTTCAAGTGATGCTTCTACGTATCGTCAGGAAGCATGTAGAGGAGACTGATCTATCTTTTTCTTCTTCAGGTTTTTCTTGAGGGCGTTGTCATGCAGAACATACAATGTGGGTGGACATCTTGGTTCTTCTGCTCCAGTTCTGACCGTCAAACGTTGGCCAACCTTGGCCTAGTCAGGAGCGTATGAGATTTGTGTTCCGTGACAATGTGCCGATGTTTCTACTCCGCGGCAGTGATTTGCTACAAAGATCACATCCTCCCATATTTTCTACCTTTTCTTTGTGAGTTGGATTTTTAGTTAACCATGGGTTTAAAATCTAGATTACATAAAGTAATAATCTCGTCGTGTGCATGCACAATCAATGTTGTCTGTCGTTTTCTAGTCTACACCGACGACTTCTTGACCGATGTTCTATACCAGCTGTTAGGTTTTAACAACTTTGCTCCACTAGGAATGAAGTCTAGAAACACGAACGAGCTGTGCTCACGGCGCCACCGGTGGAAGGAGGAAGAGGACTTCAACACCCCCAACAATTTACATGTAATTTGCATTTTATATACTGTTTTTATAAGGGTTGGCGGTACTTAATATACAACCTTTGGTATTTTTGCCCCGAGAAAATCACCTCATATCCAATAAGGATGATGTATATTGTGCGAGAATAATAAGGTGGTGTTGCGTACGAAAGTGCACCATGTTCTATCTAACCGGAACCAATCTAAAACCTAAATCTCATTGAACTAGCGTTTTTTAGGAGTGGGTTTTCTATGGAATGCTCTGTGGTACGTTCAATTTTCATGTGTGAGCCTCAAAGAGACACACGTGGCGATTACTGTTCGCTCCATTCACCCCTATGAGTGAAAGAGTGAGTGTAAAATACTAAATGTTCACTCCCCATGGCAATCTGAGCAAATGACGCGACCCTCATCTTATCCCCCCCCCCCCACCCCACCACCACCACATCAAAATCACATCCGGATGGCAAATTTTGTATTTAGAGCATGGCAATTTCCAACAGTTTGTTCTGATGTAGCATGGCAATTCCTGAACATGTAGACATTTTTTCATATAGCTTTGTCAATTCTCTGATGTAGCATCGCACGTCTACCTACTGTAGCACGACAATTCATCGTCATTTGTGACATTTTTTCCCTTTTTTTCTTTAGCTGGCAATTATCTACACTACGTCATGGAAAATCTCTGAAACGTGTGGCAATTCACTTTGTTGCAGCATCACAAATTCTTGTCAATTCTTTCTATTAATGTGGCAATTTTTTTCTTTTCATATGACAAATCTTTCTGTAATCGCATGGCAAATATATGTTTTATAGCATGGCAATTCCCGAGCTTTTGCTGGAAGTTTTTTTTTTTTGAAGAAACACTCTCTCGTGGCATGGTTCACTCAAATATATGTAAGGAACATTTGTTTGTTTGGGTGACCTCGCTGAGAAAACAGAAGCTGTTATTAGCATCCATTACAAATCAGAATTACATTGTTTGACCACCATGATCCAACAAACACAAGCTCATTATTGACCACGTGATGAGAACATGAGACCCAATCCTCCGGCCTTCCCCTACAAAAAAGACAAATCAATTATCATTTTACATGTTTCATACAAAGTGCAATTTTGTCATAGATCACCTCATGATAAGACAATTTGGGTTTAGAAATCCACCATTGCAAAGGAGCCCGATTAATATTATTCCTTGACTGGTTCAGAAATAGTTTACAGAGGTAGTATTGTTTAATGGTGTTGGTAAAAAAACATGTTTGGTTCAACGCATGTATTGGTAATGCGAATCCATCAAGGCTTACATTGTTTTCCAGTTCACATAATATGTTGCAGTTGCATGAGAAGAGCCATGATGTTGTGGAGAAAACACGCATCGCTGGTTGCTTCTGGTTGCTTCTAGTCTAGTCGGGCTTCTCCCAACAAGGACTTCGAGTAAAATATCACTGAATAGTGCACTTGTGCTGCTCCTCGTTGGTGGAGGGTCCACGAAGAAGATTGGTGGTAGAGGTCATCCATCCAAGGGGGACGAGATTAGGGAGGGAAGGAACTAGCCTAGAAGAGGCTTGAGGAAGGTGGGAGCGTCGGTGGAGAATACAGGGTAGTCAAGAAAGAACTTGCATTGTGGATTTGTGTAAAAGTTGAGTCGAGAAAGAAATCTTATTGTGTTAACATACTAATGCGAATCGATTGCAGTTGGTCTTACGTGGAATCAGCCATGAATAATGCTGCTTAGAGCAAATATGTACTTATGGTGGTTTTGTATCAGCTTGATGTGATATTATGAGTGAATAATGAGCACCCTTTGTATAAAAAAATTAAGTTTTATTCTGATCCATGAATAATGTTCCATCACACCATAAACATGTTCCTGTCGCACGGGATAATAATTTCTGTTCCATGAGTAAATTGTTTTCATAGCGTGTTTTGAAGTTTTTTCATGTATTACGAAAGGAAAACACACACACGTGCGCGAAAAAAATAGTGTTTATATCGTTTATGGATAACTCTTTCGTCACACGAAATAATGTTTTCATTGCAACGACAATGTGGCATGGTGTAAGTATGAATTGCGAGTGATTTGGGAGAATTATACTTCCTGCAAAAACAAACTATTACTTAGTAGTAACAAGTCATGATTTATGGGATTTATTACATACAAATTCACTATATGTTTCCTTCAAATTAGATGCATTTCTTTGGTGCATGGAAGATGTTAGCTGAGAAGGTAGTTAAGGAGCACAATTAGGTGTGAAACCATTGCTCTCATCGTTGGCCATCACTCTGTACATTAGATCAATGGCAAAGCACTAATCTGACGAGGTCTCATGGAAACTACCTGAGAAACCAGCAACAATTTAGATCCTTAAGACGTTTCGACCTATTATATATAGATGTGTCCATCCAAGGACATTTGCTCAGGCACTCTATTACCATATCATATTTTCTTTTACGTGTTTGTTTTATATAGTTATATGGAGAGTTTTGGAGGAAACCAAGTTCATGTGTGTACGATTAACTCCAAACATGTGTGCATACTAGGCATCATTTCCCCAGTGCTCGATGTCAGTGAAAGGGGGGTCATACGAAGTTGATTGATAATGTCATTATGGCGCTACTATTAAAAAGCAAACTAAAGTTATTGTAACATTTATTCAGAGGCGTTGCACTGGAGCGTGCGAGGCACGACAAAACCAACGAAGAAGTTTTGACATACGGAAACATATCGAAAGTAGGCCTGGTGGTACGAAAGTTCTACTTGTTATCAAAAGGACAAACTTGTGGCCTTGGTCAATTGATCGTGCTCTTAGTCATTTTATGAGCAACTTAGTTTATTAGGACCTTCTCATGCTCTTGGACTTTCTTTCCCTCTCGTCTGAATCATTTCTCTTATTTAGATCCTTTGGCAGCTTCACATTCTTTGGGTTGGTTATGTTCTTGAATACCTATGGTGCAATTGGAAGGCATTCGTCTGTTTCGTCTTTAATGGAGAGTATTTTAGTTTTTCCCTTACCAACTGGGGATATGTTACTCAAAGAATGAAAGTGCATCTAGAGAGCACCGTCTCAAAAATCAGAAACCAAACATTGGTTAAGAGGCTGCCCTTTTTTTACGAGACCTAAGAGCATCTCTAGCAAATGCTCCAAAATTGTATCCCCATCCTCTCAAAAGCTAATGTTTAGGTACATATGTTTCTTCATCTAGCAGATCCCGCAAAACTGACCCCCAGACATTCATTTGCCAATTCATTGAAACATTTGCGCAAACAATTCAAGCAAATGCACCACATTTCAAAACAAGCACAAATGCACCACATCATTGTTCAACTACGAGAATAAGTAAACTTCATCCAATCCAACAAAAACTAAAAGATTAGCGTAGTTTGTGGCAAAAGGTACCTATGTGCACCAAAAACTTACGCTAAGCAAGATAAACAACTAAGTGATAACAAGATATATAACATGAAACACTACGGCTATCACAAAGTAAAGTGCATAAGTACAAGGCTCATGTAAGAGATAATCGAGGCATGCGGAGACGAGATGTATCCCAAAGTTTACACCCTTGCGGATACTAATCTCTGTTTGGAGCGGTATGGAGGCACAATGCTCCTCAAAATGCCACTAGGGCCATGGTAATCTCCTCACGCCCTTGCACAATGCAAGATGCCGTGATTCCACTGAGGTACCCTTGAGGGTGGTAATCGAACCCATACATATGAAAACCCTTGGGGGCGTTCACCGAACCCGTGCAATTGGCAACCCTTGGGGGCGGTCATCGAACCGAAACAAATTGCTCGAGGTAATCTCCGCGCCCTAATTGGAAACCCCAAGTCTTGCCCGGAGCTTTACACC